ATTTGAACATTTCAGACGATTTGTATACTCTAAAATGATCTTTTGCGGCTACATACACTGTATTTCTGAGCATTTCATTTCAGAAGCATGGTAAAAGTCCAATGCAATTACTATTGGAACAATTACAAATTTTACGGATAGCGGTGGACTTCAATAATCCGCTATTCCGTCAATATAATTCCAAAATTATCCTATTATGTTTATTTTTTCCGAGTCCTGAACCTCAACTCTAGTAGGTAGGGATGGTTTTGGACTACAGTAATCTGCGTCAATAAGACACGGGTCAACAAGTAATATCTTGACAGAATTTATATTATGACAATGGCGACGGAGAATGGCCAAGGTACTGAGCTCAAGAATCGTGGACCCCCGCAGCCAATATATATCAGGTGTGGCTTATTGACGCAAATTACTGTACTTAAGAATGATTAAAAAAAACTATTTTCAATAACTTCCAAAAATCTGTTCAAAATTCAAAAGGATCTTAACGTATTAAAAATAATACTACGATTATTCTATACCGGAGTTCACTTCAGCATTTAGAGAAGTTCAAGCATCCTGAGCAGACGAACGCGGCAGCAACACTGAGATCCTTCCTCCCTACGCAAGTTCGATCTCCACCGTTTGGTGGATATGTTCCGGCTCATCGGCTTGAACCGAACGATGAGGTGCATATATTGGCGACCAAACTGCCGCTGCTGAAGACCGCCAACTTGGCGGAGTTGCTGTGGAGATCCTGCAAACTCTGCACAACTCGGACGGAGGGAACAGGGAGTTCGAGCCTCGTGGTGACGAGATCCTGCGAGCGCGAGTGTAGCCACCCATCGAAGATAAGGAGAAGGCCATGCTGCTGCAGAACGAACATCTGCTAAAAGTTAGCCACCTGGGTCCGAATATTAGCGCACGTACGTATACTATAGCAATACACAGATACGTACAGCGTGCTCGTTCTGACACTTAAAAATTATTGCTGTGGCTTCTACTGACAGATCACGCCAGCTGTTCTGGACGGACGGCCTGTACACATACAAGTACGTCAAGTTGCAATACCCATGCTTGTATTCCTCGTAAGCCCCATCGATAACTTTTTCCTTCCAGTTCTATTTTCAGTCATGTCGCTCGATTTCTAAGGTAGTGAACAACGCGGTGTCGCTCATCGCGGAGAAACACAACAAGACTGTGGCGCACGCTGCCTACCGCAACGAGGACAAGAACACGGTCGTGGACGCTGCTAACATCCGCGAGGGCAGCACGCTTGCCTTTGAGAACCCACTGGACGTGAACTGGTCCATGTTTGAGCAGGATGGCAACTGCCACGACTGCCCCGTCAATCGGCTGACTGACCACGAGTATCGTAGAAGTGGAATGCTAAACTGTTGATGTTGCCGTAACGCGCTCCGATAGTCTGCAACGAGCGGTTGTCGTCAAGTGGTCCAACCAAGCCCATGATACGTCCTACATCTGCCTTGCCCTATTTAACGGCTTTTTTTTTACGAATAGAAGACCCCTTACTATTGGAAGACCGCCCTATATTTTCGAGAACGTTCCAGAAACAAAAGACCGCTTCGAATAGGAGATCGCATTCTGATACACAATTCATTCACAAACTTAATTTTACGATGCGTCAAGCAATTGGCATCGCGAAGAAGCAAGAGGCTATCAAGTGGATCGGCGAGCAGGGAGGTGATGTCGCTAGCCGCGCGGCGCCACACTTTCGCAAGGTGGGGTGGGACGTCGATGCCTCTACTTTTCGCAAGTGGCGGCGCAATAAGGAGGAATAGTGGGCGCCCAACCGCATCAAAAACGGCTGCATGGCGGCGGCAGGAAGCTGCTTCTTGGTGCACTGGAAGATCTTTTTCTAGACGCTATAATCGACCGTCGCCTTTGCAAGAAAAAAGTGACAAGAGAATGGATCGGGTTGGCTGCAAAAGAGCTGTACGCCTCCCTGGACGAGAATAGGAGTCGTTT